GGAAGGGAAGGGAAGGGAAGGGAAGGGAAGGGAAGGGAAGGGAAGGGGAGAGAGAGAGAGAGGGAATGAGAGGGAGCCAGTGAATGTGACGAGAAATTGCTTGGAACATTGTCACACAAGACTTCTTTGATTTGGGGGTGTTTGTGATTCAATCAATTGGGGAGGGCACCGGTAGTGATAGAGGTCGTTGTGGGAGAACACCTGGATGCTGGAATCATATGCAGCAGTTTTGCGCGTCATTGCTTCGCGTATTGATTCAGCCTACAGTAATTACATGTACAGTACCAACTTTTTGTGGTAGACACATGGTGATTGGATTTGTTGGGCTGTTGTGATTCTGTGGCTTGTGGTCCTTAGCATCCCGCAAAGAACGGGTTAGGTTGGCTTTAATCTTTAATGCTTTGCCGCAGGAGGTCATCGACCCCACTGGCACGGAGGACTTGCACAAGGACCTACAAGTGTGCTGGCGCTGCTGCGCTACCGTACATTTGAGGTGGTTGATCATTGAGGATCTGTGGCCTTTGAGGTTATTGATGCAGCTTCTTTGAACAGATAATTAGCTTGGACATGCACACGTGTGGCCATTTGGTCCCAGGACACGATGGAGATCCTCTTTGGCACAGCTGCTTTGATCAACAAGGGCACTAGATTCACTAGATGTATGTGAGCCACGGTCAAACCATGCGGAGACGCGAAAACCACGTTGTTAAACTTTAGTAGAGAGGGGCAGGTTTGTGCACAAACACCCAGTAAAACGATAAGGTCCACCGCAGGATTGTAAGTCATTGTACAAAATACAGCATTTTTTAAAATACTGTTTATGGTCATAAGCATGTGGCGGACTCACGACACTGTAACACAATAAGGTCCACCTGAAAACCGATAATGTTCATTGTTTGCTTGAAGAAGAACTAGTCATACACAGGTATGGCAGGCGTGGGTGTTTGCGCATCATAACTAATAAGAAGATACATTTGTTGGGACATTGTGACTCAAGGTGAGCCGAACTGGCATCAACAGACCTTGAAAGAGGTTGACCTTTGATGTGGGTAGGAGTTGACCCCCCCCCAGACCTCTATGATTTTTGGACGCTATGTGGCAGCATATGCTGAGATGCCAATTTTGTTTACAGCTGCCTGGCTGGACGTTTGCACCCGCCTTTTGCACCTCATGGAGGGCCTCGGTGGTGGAGATTGACCACTACTACCCACCTGCCCCAGTCCTGTACATCGAGGGGCTCCCCCCTATTCGTTGTATGCCATGCCTCGTTCGAGAATGCGACCGTTGCCGCAGGAAGCGTGAAGGTTTCCGTTTCCCATCGATTTGTGTTTGGTGCGGCGGCGCGTTCTGGCTACATCACTGCTGTGCCGAGATGCGCCAACTGAAGCATGGCGCAGAATTGTTTGGCTCCAGCCCATGTGCTTCGGATGGTCCTGGCCGCATCCGCCCACAAGTCTGACCTGGTTGGCGTTCACTGACTGACCTGTTCATTGCCTGGCGCGGTGGGGCAAGTGCAATGGTTGTTGCCATTCCGCCGGCAGTCGCCTGTCAAGCTTCTACAGCTCGGGGGTGCTGGGCACTTTCGTTTTGTCTGGGCCACTTGGAAGCCAACATTTCTCCCCTACCTGCCAGCATCCCAAGTTCAACGTCAATCTGTGCCACGGCAAAACTATTCGCTACTATTGCATACTATTGCTAGATTCCCAAAAAGCGTCATGCACTGGGAGCTGGCGGCGGCCCAGCATGTCGCCTGTGGCGGTGCCAATCTCGGCGTGGCCCGACCTTGGGATTGCCTTCGGCGCCACATGAGCCCGCAGTTAGGCGGACGCATGGCAATGGGTGGAGGCCCGCGCGACCATTCTCTACTCGGTCATGGTGCCTATACATTCGGGCATTGTGGGAGTGTGTTCTTCTTGCCCTGAGCTTCTACGCTCTCTCAGCCCAAAGGATCATTGGAAAAAAGTGAGGTCGCAAGTCTTGACCACTGATCATTGTCGGGTGCAAGGCCTGCCATGATGGTAGTAATCTTTTATTGTATATATATATATACTAAATTATGTGACCATCTTGAATAATAAGATACCAGTGTTAGAATAATGTTGCTCAAATGTTCATTGTTCAACATGAGACCTTCTTGAACTTGCACTCATTATACGTTGCAAATACTTGTGTAGCAGGTATGAATATATATATATATAAAGTCGTCATATAACTTATATCCATTAAAAACAGAATTTGCACGTGGAAAAGGCTCCTTGGAGGGCGAGGATCTTGCTGACACGGTTCAGCAGGTATGCTCGCACAAAGGTGGGGCCAAGCCTTGGACCATATGCATCTCGAACTCACAACCCACTGGCTACCTACGACCGATCTTGTTGGTGCTCATCCTTGGACTGGATCATCAATGGTATCAAGTGGTCCCGACACATGCGTTTGGTTAAAAGCCCCACTAGAACCCAGGTGGTTGCTAAAACTAAAGCAGGGCAGATCCAGGTCCACTTGCAATGTGGGTGTTAGCAGCGGGCCGAGGCAAAAGTCTTATTAGCGCGCCATGTCTCAAGGCAGACCCGTGACCGAAACAGGACGTAATCGTACTCCTGAAGCTAAAACTCGCGGGGCTCTTCTTTGGGGAGCCTGTCTTGGTACCTGAGACTTCGAGCTTTCCAAAGCTTCACCATTTGCTTCGTGCAGTTCTACTTTGAAAGTTTCTAACCCTTTGTTCTCTGTCTTGGCTTTGGAAAAGGAAAAAGGCTTCTCGGGCTCCCCAAATCGTCACGGCTCGGGTTGCGCCCTGCCTAAGCAAGCAAGGACCGCGTGTTGTGTCCTTGGAACAAAACACCTCACACTTCAGTGGCCTTATAGATGCAATTTGGAGCAACTTGGCTTTGAGAAGCACAACCTTGGAAATGAGCGGCTTGCCCGGCTTGGAAAAGAAGCCTAAATTCAGCCTAAATGAATATTTCATAAAATTTCGACCTTACTGCCAACTCGGTTCAGAGTCTTGTCCTCTAACTTCACGAAAGATGTTTTAAGACTACAAAAATAATATATATATATATATATAAATATAGTGCTTTGAGAATTTGCTCAAAAAGCAGCAGTGGCGGGATGCGCAGCACCCTTGTGAAAATCGCGCGAGCTGAACGAACTCCGTCAAGCTTGGACAAGTCGAGTGGGAGAAGGCCCGTCAAAATGTTGCTTTGAATTGGAAAAACCGAGCTACCATGCCTTTTTGTCACTGGCCGCTCATGCGGCAGGACCAAATTGGCACCCCTGAATGTCCGTCCTTAGGCGCTCACCAACACGCTTTTGGGGAGCCACCCGGCCGGCTAAATTGAATTCCGTTGATCGGTAAGACCGCTCGAATGGCCCTTCAGTCCGGACCTGGTTGGTGCGCATGGCACTCTTCGCATTGATTGCTTGGTTGACCCATATTCGGATCCAATTGGGCCAACGCCATTTCTCAACAATCTCCGTACGCCATGTCTCGTCTTGGCGACATATTCCGTGTTTTTGAGCTTCTTTGAGCTTGCTTTAGGGCCAGAAGGCGGAAGAAGAAGGCAGAAAAAGTGCTAGCCTGAGTGGACGGGTTAGCTACCTGCCCTGGTGCTTCCCTTGAAGGACATCATGGGACATCCGCAAATATCCTGCTAGAGGCACAAGAGGAAATGTCTCAATGAAAGAGGAAAGTGCGGAGTGCGAAGGTTGTATCAGAGAGGTTTCAGGTTTTTAGATCATAACTAAGAAGAAGAGCTGTTGGTTGGGACATTTTGGCTCAAGGTGGGCAAGCTGGCATCAACGGATCTTTAAAGTTTGGCGGAAGAAGGCTGTTGAAAGATTGCTCTTTTGAGTGGACGGGAAAAAGTGTAGTTTTGCATATGTCCTAGCAATACTGTGTTTACAGTTTTTGCACATCAACACACGTAACTTTATGCAAATTAATTGTCATACGTATACTCAATCTTGTTTAAGAGGTTTGTTTCGATGTCAATTCGTTTCCTTTGGTTCATCTTCAAGAGAAGGATTGGATGCATACAGCCAACAGTGGCAAGATGAGGGTAAGAACCGTTGCCCGCAGGCTTTCCACTAGGGACCGAGAGGACCAGTGACCCAAAATTTTGTCGATTGCTTTGACTTTTCCCAGGCAAAGGAGAGCGATGCCCAGCTTTCCACGATGATCACACCCACGAGCCCCAGGCTATTGAACCTTGGCGATTGCTCATTGCAACACAGGTTATGGACTCACGGATGCCAGCACAAGGTTGTGGAGGACTTCTGGAGGAGTGAAAAATGATGAAACATGGAAAATTGTTCATGCTATCTCCAAATGATGCATTTCATGTACGTAAGGACGTTTTGATGCTTATTTCTGGTGGAGGGATTTTGTTTTGTTGCCAATTTGGTTTGCCACACAAACCGGAAATCTAAGGACGTCCAACACCATGAAAGCTTTTCTCAAGGAGGATGACGCTTTGCTTATGTGAAAGATGTGAAGGAGTGAAACACACATATTCGCACCGACGAGGAAATCGTATTTTTTGGAAGATTGGGCAAATGCAGCGTGAATATTCGACTTCACCTTACCAGAAAACCCACAGATGCACGGATCAACTGAGGAAAAATCAAAGAGAAACGCATCTCGACTTACAGAGGCCATCCGGCTAGGCTGGTGGCTGGACTTGGGAAATTGGACCACGACTGGTGCTCAGGCTTTTGGCACGTTGCCGGTACAGCCCGGAGCACCTGGCGTGCCATGCGTTGCTACAGAGCATGTGTTGAGCCGAGGCCTTCAACCAAAAACTGAGGGGCTATGTTGATGCCACAGCTGCCACTTTGGTGCTGCTGAATGGTGCCTGGCAGACAAGGGTTCTCAATCATTTGGGGGGGCTGAGTGAACTGTGGACTGTGGACTCTGGACCAGGGACAAGCGTCAGATGGCAAGCATTTGTTTTTCCAAGACTTTGTTCATTTGGGTGTGCCGTCTGTATAATAGTAAAAAATATCCAGGCTGGACCTGCAGTTTTCTATGAGAAAGCTGGCAGCAGAAATCATTGCCAAACGAGGATCCAGGCAGTGACACGGTGGTCCCCATAAACTCACGCGCGGGTGTCCTTTTACGGGCCCTTTTCGAAAAGAGGTGCAGTGATGCTGGTGGAGTTTGAGTTGGAGGGGCGCATCAATGGAACCATTGTGGGAAGCGGAGAGGACTGCGTCGGGCATCAACCGCAACGATGCGCAACATAGAGCAATCGAAGGCTGCGACCAGGAGGATCATAATCATAAGATGAGAAAGTGGAGTCAGGCATGGCAAGCGTTTTTCTTCAAAAAGTTTGGGGACCAGGTGAGCGTAGCACTGGCTATGGCCTGAGTTTTCGGAGATGTGACTAACCATAGGGCAGTCTTTTGTGACCCAGTTGTTTCAAGCACTTCGCAGTCTTATCCACACAGCATTGCCGGAATCAGGATGCACAAGTGCCACAATTCCAACAGTTCTTGCAGCTTGACCGCAATCGTCTATGCGCAATTGGTTGCATCTCCCGATAATTCCAGTTCATCAAGCAAGTCCATGAAGAACAATAATGATAATGACAATGATGTGCAGCATGACAGGTTGAAGGCTTTAGGCAAGGTTTCCCTCCTTCGTCCCACCTCCGAACTTATCCATGATTTTAGGGGGACCCAAATGCCCATTTTGGCAGACCGTTTCTTGTTTCGACGCTGGCCCGGGTCCTGGTTTATGAACTTTCTGCGAATTGGCAAACCCATGTGGGCAGCATAGGTCTTTGGTTTTCCATGTTTCTCCTAACAATTCCAAAACTGATGTGGTGTTGATCAGGGGCTCCCCAAGCCAAAAAGTGGAAAATGGGCCATGTTGGCAGCTGAGGGAAGTGGCACGAGTGGTTGCCACTTGGATTTCACCGTGGAAAGATCCGAAACGGATCCGTGACACTGCGACGACCGATTCGCCCTGCCGGCACACCTCGGTCGGTATGTCTTCAGTTTGATTCTTCTCGGTGCCTTGTTCCGTGAAGACGACTGCAGTTAGGACGACTGCAAAGCTTCACATCAGATTCATATAGTACTTTGCTGGCCCACGGACCCCTAAGTATGTGCCCACATTGGAAGGAGCAAGAGAGATACCCCATAAACCATGCAAACTCTCTGAGAGTTCCATATTCACCTGCTGGTGATACCAATTGATACCACTCCTACCACTCCATCCGCTCCACCAATGGTCCTGGTACGCAGATCCACTCGGTGAGGGCTTCACAAAGTGAATGCGAGTCATGCGGTGCTTTGAGGTAGTAACATGTTGTAACAGGTCATTTCCGCTTGAAAGAGGCAAGTGTTGCACTACTTTCTGCTTGGTTTGCAAGTGTTGCAATTATATACCTGTTTTGAAATGGTTCACAGCAAAGTCAGTCAGGGGAGCATTTGACAAGTGTCCTTTCCTGGTCAGCAATTTTGGGTAAGCGATTCGAAAGCGGCTCAAAAGTTCCAAGCTGTTTTGGCAATCCTTTTGCGCTGCCCAGTCTTCAAGAAAGGTTGGTGAATGGCACCACCACTTGCCCGTCGACGCCGTGTGCACGTTGACAGGGAGCAGGATCAGTAGGATATATACTGCAAACTTCATTGCGTAACAAAGGTCAACATGCAACAGATGTGAAAAAGAACAATAGGGCACACTTTTCTACTCCAATGTATGTTGTGACACGCCAGCTGTTCCAGCAGAATTGGCAAAGAGAGCGATTCATCCAGACTGAGGACAATGCGTTTGTCTTCGTGTTTCTGGTCGAATGGATTTGCCGAATCGCGCCTCGGCTTAGCACCTTCCAATTACCAAGATTGGAAGGCACCGTTCCAGCGTTCCGGGTACATACATATACATGTATATATATATATAAGATATTGTTCATTCATGCAAACGCAAGATAAGATACCCTGCACATTGATTCAATGTAGCTCCCTAAATGTGAAAGTCACTGAAGGCGAAGGCCCCATCCATGAACTCTGTGGCTAAGTCGAAAGGGCCATTCTTGAGTAGCTCTACTCAATTCATTTATGCGGATCTATGGCAGCCCCCTGGTGCAACACAGCGTTGGCGTTGAGGTCCTTGACAAATGGAATTTTCTACGTGACTTTGCCAACTGGTTCGATACCTTGCTGGTCTTTATTGGCTTGGTGGAAGCTTGTCCTAGAAGAGAAATGAGCCCGGTGTATCCGGGATGCTGTGAAATGACGATGTGATTCTGTGAAATCAGTGGAATCCCCCGATGCGGGGCATTGCAAGTTTCATTGACAATGAACATCAGTTTGTGCATATAGAGAGAGAGAGAGATGTGCGTGTGATTATGTATGCGTATTTGTTCTGAGGAGTTTGTTGTGTCTTTGACCATGGAAGAGGCCTCTGCAGCATCCAGAAGCAGCTTGGCTGAAAGCTTTCAGCACAGCTCATCCCACCCTGCCCGGAGATGCCATCAGATGGCCTCCGTCTTGGACCAAGAACCTCCCTGGCTGGCCAAGTTCCAGCGGAGGAATCGGAAGAGGCTGGCAGATGATCTTCTACATTGAGGCTCCGAGTAAAACTTGGGCGCCCAAATCGGTCGCTTCGATTTGGGGCCCAGGGTCCAACCAGCCATGGTGGCATTTTCTACAACACTCCCAAGTCCAAGAGTAAAGCCTGTAAAGCCAAACACTTCATTTGGGTGCTTGAGATGTTCACCAGGGTGCGCGTTTCAGAGATGAAACAGTGCTGAGGTATAGTCCTCCTTCGAATGATGCTGGACCAAAAACGCGTTGCGGTGTCCGGTGGTCGGCCCAGTCGGCCGATGTCGAGGCGTTTCCCAAGCAGCCCAAGCGGGGTGGTTGCTGTTGATACTGTGAAAATCCACTCATGCATGCCTTGGTTCGTCAGGTCGTTCCCTTCCGCCGCTGCCGTACAGGTACCAAGAGCCGTTTCCCTTTGCGTAAAAGGCCATGCATCCGAGCATTTGCTGTGCCTTGTTCCTTGCGTTTTGAGGGCGGTCACTCAGGCACGTGACTGTATCAGTTGGTAGGCGGAGCTATGCCTACGATCCAGGATTTGCCGTTTGTTTTCGACATGTCTGCCGATGACGACGTTCCCTGGGACTATGAGGCCCTTGACGCTACCACCACTCCGCTCGCAGATTCGTCTTCCTCCCATGAAGCTCATTGGAGATGTTGGACATGTGGTCATGCTGAGTTTGAGTGGTCGGATCATTGGGTTTGTGCAAGTTGTGGCAGTGTTGAGTTTTACAATACTAGGCAGTCAGAGCGGCGTGAGACCAGAGAAGGCGTTTGGCTTTACATGCCTCGACAGACCTCTTGGGACACACCTGACAGCAAGCTTGCAGCACCCCCTTTTGGATCCCCACCGAATACCTCCGGACACGACTTCGGAGAAGATCGTGAGCTCGCCGAATCCGAGACTCCGACACACGATCCCATTGTCGATCCGGACGGATCTCAAACCAGACGCCAACGAAGACGACACCGCAAAAGCAATGCTTCGCAAGAACAGCAACAAGTTCAGGCTGATGAATCCGACGCTGACATCAAGCAGAACTTGGACAAGATCGTCACCATGCTCAAGAAGTCCATGTCGAACGAGAAGAGCAACTCGTCACAAGACTCATGGAACAGTAGGAAAGGACCAGAGAAGGGAGTGCGCTTCAGAGGGGGGACTCCTCCAAACCCTCCTACATGGAAGTACTCTCGTGATGACATCCGGTCGTTTCCGAAGTGGCAGAAGAAGCTGGCAGTTTGGAAGAAACAGATCCAAGCATATATGCCCCTACAAGATGCAGCATTGATGTTGTATACGAGCCTTTCTGGTGAACCGGAAGAAGAGCTGGAGCACATCGATCTTGATCGCCTGCATCGTTCAGACGGCATCGACTACATTGAGAGCCTGCTTCGCCAAGGTCTTGAGACCAAGCTAATTTACCAGAAAAGGAAGCTCATGAGCGAGTTTGAAACAATAGTTCGGCAGCCTTCAGAGTCCATGCGTGCCTTTGTGAACAGATACCGAAGGGCAGAGCGATCCCTGCAGAGCATCGGCATCAACCCAAGTGGCATGTATGACAGTGAAGCAATGGGCAACAGACTGCTCGAACGTGCCCGGCTTTCGCCGGAGAACGGTCGATTGGTTTTGATCGGGTCGAACTTCAATCTCACCTTCGAGTCCATAGCTGAGAGTCTGTGCATGACATTCCCAGAACACAAACCGCCTCCACAGTTGTTTGGGAAAGATGGTCAGCCCATCAAAGCATTTCAGCATCGCAGAGACATTGCTCCTTCCAGTCACTCCTCGAGCTTGAGCTCCACCACCGCTACGTCCTCTTCTTCCTTTAAGGGGAAAGGAAAGGGCAAGAACAAGTTTCAGTCCAGACAAGCATTTGCCACAGAGCAAGTTGAGTTGGAAGCAGTTCCAGAGGAGAATGACGACGAAGAAGATGGCAATACAGAGTTTCACGACGCAGAAGACTGGCAAGACGATGAGCAGCCTCCCGAAGAGGATGAAGCTGCGTACGACGACGCTGATGAGGAAACAGATCTCTCCGCTGTTGTCGACGCCCTGACTGTCACAGCCAAGAAGCTACAATCCCTTACATTGGGAAGAAAGTACACCGGATCCAGAACGATCCAAGAAAGAAAGAGAACAAGCAGCTGTTCTGCGTGTGGACAGATCGGCCACTGGGCCGGTGACGCAGAATGCGCAAAGTCGACTTCCAAGTCCTCTGGCAAAGCCAACGGCAAAGGAAAAGACAAGCAGCAGTTCGATGGTAAGACCAAAAAGGTTCTCTTCACCACCATCACGGATCAAGGTTCTGAACCCCATCAACTACCAGATGAAGTTCCCGAGGTTCCCAACTATTTCAGCTTCATGATCAACATGCTCCCATCCGACTCTTCTACCAACCAGGTTTTGTACATGGATTCAACCAGCCTTTGTGGTTACATGGTTCTCGACACAGCATGCCAGCGTATGTGTTGTGGTGCAACCTGGTTAGATGAGCACACAAAGATCCTCGCCCAACATCGACTTCGACCACGACTCGTCGATGTGTCCGAGGCTTTCCAGTTTGGCCGCGGCTCCGATTCGAGCCAAGGCCCGAGCCTACCTGCCGTCAAGTGTTGGCGGAGTTTACTGTTTGTTGGGTGCAAGCATTGTTGAGACAGGCATTCCACTTTTGGCATCAAACACGTTTTTGGAAACTGTTGGAGCAATAGTTGATCTGGGCAAGCAACTTGTTTTGTTTCAGAATCTCGGAGTCACAGTGGCCATTCACAAGGTCAACGGACATCTAGCAGTTCCAATTTGTGATTTTGAGATTTGTGCATCTCAGCATGATATTTGGAAGTTTTTGAGCAGTCCTCACATTTGGACGTGTCCTCATCCGGAGATCATCGCTGAAGGCATTCTTGACCAGCAGCGCTTGATGCCCGAAGATACATCAGGAGTGTTCACCGTCCAGGATGCTTCGTCAGACACCACCATCATGGCTTGTGAACTGGCGTCGGGTTCTGCACATGATCCTCCGCCTCGAGATGCTGGCACTCCGTGCGATGTCAAGAGCAATTCGATTTGGCCTGGCACCAAGATCCTGGCTGACTCTCCAGGACAAGGTGCAACAGGAAGAGATGGAGAAAGCTGTGGCTCAAGCCGTGACCAAGCCGCTGAAGGACGTGGGTCAATGCTCGCACCCTCAGTGGACCAGGTACGGCAATGCCCACGGTCGCTTCGCAAAGTGCACTCTATGCCACACGAGGATGAAGTGGTCACCGGAAGAAGAAACATGGTATCCTCTTGGACGGGCATCTTCGGCAAAATCTTCTTTGCCGCTTCCATCGTCTTCAAATACCTATCCACAGAAGCCCAGGAGCAAGCCTATGTCGGGACCACCACCAGGAGCTTCACAGAAGGCACTCCCGAAACCGAAGTCCTCCCCGAGCTCTTCAGCGACGCCTTCAATCGCCAATATGAATCCTCCACCACCGACTTGGCTCCTGGAATTGCACAATCAAGTGGCGGACGAACTCCTCCAGTATGGTCGGGATATGGACGACCACGAGAATCAGGTCAGAGCCGCCATGGAAAGTGCGGTGAGGACTCAAGGACGCCATTCCAGCCACCGCAGAGACCTTCGACATGACAGACATGGAGTCTGTGGAGACGATGAGCCAGGCAGATCTCTACGAGTGGCCGGTAGATTGAATCAGGAAGAGCTTGAGAGCAACTACAAGGGGCACAAGAAGTTCATCCTGGGCAGGATCAAGAAAGCCATCCATGCTGCCCAGACAGAACAAAAGACCTATGAAGCCTTAGCTACAAAGCATCGCGCAACTCATTCCAAGATTGATATCATGGAGATCTTCGCCGGGAGTGGCACAGTCTCCAAGACTGCAGTGCGCTATGGCTTGACAGCTACCACACCGATTGACTATAACACCGGCTATGACCTTTCTCAACCTGATTCGCAAGTAGCCTGTGACCGGATGTTGCAGACGCTTCGGCCTCTCTTTCTGCTCGCCAGCATACATCGCACACCCCGGCTTGTGATGCAGGAGAATATGAACTATAACACAAGACCAGAACTTCTTGAACAACTTCGTGAAGAAGAGAGACCGATAGTTGAAAAGACCATGGACTGGTGCAAGCGACAACATAGTGAAGGCAGATTCTACTTGATCGAGAACCCCAACAACAGCCGTCTGTGGGAAGAACCCTCAGTTGTGGCAATGCTGCAGGAGACCAATGGTATGGTCACGACATGTCATTCCGGTGCCTATGGCGCCACGAACTCCAAGGGTCAGAAGATCAAGAAGACCTTCAAGTTTGCCTCCAACAACAAGGACATTTTGTACTACCTCAGCGAAAAGCTCAACGCAGAGGAACTTGCCCAGTGCATTCCTCTACAAGGAAAAGAAGTCACCTTGTCTCAGCATTACCCTGACGGGTTGGTCGCATCAATACTTAAAGGCATCAAGTATGTCGCTAGACAAATGAATCCAGCTCGATTCCTTCCAAAGAAAGTGTTGGCGAACTATAGTCTTCCACAAGGAAATCAACAACAGTGGAACACCTTGATGCAAAACGCATTCACTCTCATGGAACAGACTGCCACCAAGAACTACGTCCTGGGACCAGATCTACAAGCAGGTCCAGCAGTTGATTCCATGGCATCTGACAAGGGTGCAGGTTGCCAAACAGCCATTGGTTCATCGACATCCTTCATTTGTTCCTCACACTCATCGAGGGTCTGTTTTGCAATATGTCGGAAAAGAGGATGCAGAAGTCCAAACCGAGGACCTCAGCGATGTTCATTTTCCAAGGAGCCGTTTTCGAAGACCTGTTGAGCTTGCTCTCTTCTTCTACGGCTACCCGGACATGATCGATGAGAACATCGGCATCCCTGGAGAAGAAGCAGAACAGAGGCAGATGGAGGAGGAATTTGCAGAGCCCAATCCAACCAGAGAGATCTTTCATGAAGAGATCACCTTTCCAAACACCAGTGGCGTTGACAAGTCCATCAAAATGGCAACCTCCCGAATGCACAAGAACATGGGTCACCTGCCACCAAATGAGATGATCAAGCTGTTGGCGCTCAATGGCATTACAAGTGACCAGGTGATCAAATGCATCAAGGCCATGAGATGTTCAGCATGTCAGCGAGCAAAAGGACTTCATTGGCCCAATCCTGCAACTTCGACACCACAATACCTGGGACAATTCGCTGATAACGTTCAGGCTGA